AAGCTGTGACAGGGTTGATATATAAGTTATGCTTATGGTGCGCCACATCACTCCCCCCTAAGCGGGAAGACGAAATCGTACTCGTCGTCCTGACCGTGTTGTATATGCTGTTCTCTGTACATTAGCAGTAGATTCTGTGTGTGACTTTTCTCCAGCTATAAACGCTGCCTTTAGGCGGTCGACGCTGACGTTGGTATCTTTTCCTCGTATTTTAATTTTAAAGAATTTCTCGTTGCGTTCGATTACGGGAAACGGTCCGTCATATGGCGGTTGCAGAGGTTTTCGCACGGCATCGTTACGCACGAATACTGACGGTGTCGAATATAGATGTTTTTCTACAAAAGGTGAATGAACAGAGTGGTTTGACGTCTGCGTCGGTCTCAGCGATCGCATGCGCTCCCGAAGATTGCTGACAAATTCGCATTCAGTGGTATTTCGGGTATTTTCATCTGCGAAAAACTGGCCTGGGATCCGCAAAGTTTCGCCATAAACCATTTCATCCGGCGTAGCATTCAAGTCCTCTTTCCATGATGAACGAAAACCCAGTAGTATGAGCGGCAATACTTCAACCCAGTTGTTGGTCGTGTAGCACTTTATTGCGGCCTTTAACGATCTGTGCCAGCGCTCGATCAGTCCATTAGACATTGGGTGATAAGCAGTTGTACGCAAATGCTTTATTCCCAGAAGTCGAGTTAGCTCGCGAAAGAAGGCCGACTCGAACTGTCTGCCTTGATCTGTCGTCACTTTGCAGGGCACGCCAAATCTCGCCACCCAGTTAGTGTAAAAAGTTAGTGCTATTGTTTCTGTGGTACTGTCCTCGATTGGATATGCTTCCAACCAACGCGAGTAACGGTCGACGATTGTTAAACAGTACCTGAAACCTTTGCACGGTGGTAAAGGGCCGACTAAGTCCATATTAATGTGTTCGAACCTGTTGCTTTGCAACGCGTATGACCCGAGCGGTGTACGGTTATATCTTTGTATTTTCGCTCTTTGACACGGAATGCATCATTTTGTCCAAGAGCGGCAGTCTTTTCTAAGGCCTGGCCAAACAAATTTTTCCGCTACTAGTTTTGTTGTTTTTTCCGCTCCATTGTGAGAAATGTTGTGGATGTTTTTAAAACCCAACTCGCGAAATTCTTGTGTTAAGTACGGTCGAGCTTTGCCGGTGGAAATGTCACAGAAAACTTCTACATTCGTACCTGGAACGGTAAAACGTTTCAATATTAAGCTTGTCTTTGATATTAATAAATCTTTGAGCTCTGCGTCGCTTTGTTGACTCTCCGATAATTTCGCGAAATCAATCGTGTCTGTCGTGTGAATAGCATCAATCCGTGACAAGGCGTCCGCGATAACATTATTCTTTCCTGGTATAAAACGAATGTCTGTCGTGAATTGCGAAATGAAGTCGGAGTGGCGGATCTGTCGCGGTGATGATTTCTCTAACTTCTGTTGGAAAACATACTGTAGCGGCTTGTGGTCGGTTAAAATAAAAAACTCTCTGCCTTCCAGCATGTGTTGGAAGTATTTAACAGCTTTGTAGGCAGCGAGCAGTTCTCTGTCGTACGTACTATACTTTGTTTGTGCCTCTGTTAAACGTTCGGAGTAGAACCCCAGCGGCTGCCATTTGCAGCCGTCGCGCTGCTGCAGAACTGCTCCTATAGCTACACCTGACGCATCCACTGCTAGTGAGAGCTGCGCATTTGTTTTTGGGTATGCGAGCAAGGTGGCAGAGCACAAGTCGTCTTTGCATGCCTGGAATGCTTTTTTAGATTCGTCCGTCCAATTTATTATTGTTTTGTCGTTCTTCTTGTTTCCCTTTATTAAAAGTGACAGGGCGTGTTGTTTTTCTGCTGCTTTCGGCAGAAACCTACGAAAAAAATTCACCATACCTAGAAAACGCTTTAGTTCGCAGACTCGTTCTGGAAGTTTGTAGTCTTTCAAAGCCCGTACTCTCTCCGTCGGCGGAGATATTCCATCTCTAGTTATTTTAAACCCGAGAAAGTTTATTTCTGATTTACCCAGCACACACTTCGAAGAGTTAATGACGAGGCCATATTCGCGTAGTTTGCCAAAAACCAATCGCAAGTGTTCACGGTGTTGGTTCATGTCTTTCGATGCGATTAAAATGTCATCGAGATAAGGCCAGGCGAAGTCATACTCGCGAAGGAAATTGTCCATAAAGCGTTGGAATGTTTGGCTGGCATTCCTCAGACCGAAGCACATGTATACAAATTCATACATGCCAAATGGCGTGGTAATTGCTGTCTTTGGAATATCAGCTGGTTCGACAGGAATTTGGTGGTAAGCGCGGCGTAAGTCGAGTGTAGAAAAAATTGTACACCCATGTAAATCGAGTGTATAGTCATGCAAGTGCGGTAAGGGATACCGATCTGGCTCAGTAATGGTATTCAACCTACGGAAGTCTCCACACGGTCTCCACTCTCCATTTTTCTTTTTTGTTAAGTGGAGGGGACTTGCCCATGGACTTCGAGACGGGCGGCAAATGCCAGCATTCAACAAAAATTGTATTTCTGCCTTGGCAGCCTTTAGTTTTTCGGGTGAAAATCGCCTTGGTTTTGAAAAAATCGGCGGTCCTTTTGTGACAATGTGGTGTGTTACATTGTGAGAAGGGTTTTTGCAAGCTCGATTTTCCATGGTGATGTCTTTGAACTCGCTCAGCAACTCCTGGAATGGTTGGTTTTCATTAATAGTTGACAGGTTAAGTATTACCTCATTGGCTGATGACATTTCGCAGATTTTGGCTAAGTTTGTAGTGCCGTCGATAATTTTGCGTTGTTTCAGATTCACCGATAAGTTGTAGTGCGACAAAAAATCTGCGCCCAGAATGGCCTGTGACACGTCAGCGACAATGAAGTTCCAACCGAATGGCCGGCGCAGCCCTAGGTTGATGGTCATATATTTTTCGCCATACGTTTTAATTGGTGATTTGTTTGCAGCGTATAAGAAACAATTTCTATCAGCGTACCTCTTCTGTAACTGCGTCGGTGGAGTAACGCTGACTTCGGCTCCGGTATCTACCAAAAATTTTTGTGTTGTGCTTTTGTCGGTTACTATTAGATGGCGGCTTTTTATGCTAAGACTATCGTTGACCGCCATCGACGATAGCTTTTTTAGTTTAAATTTTTTGAGCACGGTTTACGGCACTTCTTTGCCTCGTTTCCAAACGTCATGTGATACCAGCACTGGTCCTCTGTCTTCTGACGCGATGATGTTCGTTCCGACGAGTGTCCCCTGCTGCGGCTCCTGTGACGATAGTTACGGTTTGTTTTTAAAGCGGCGATTTCTTTAGTGATTGCAGCGAGCTGCCGCTCTATGTGTGAAAATGTTTGCGAAGCTGCTGGTTGTGTTTCAATCGCTCGTATCTGCGGTATGTCGCTGACTTCAGAAACCTTATCAGCAAGAAGCGCTACCTTGTCAAGTGGCTCTGTGCTTATTGAAATCACAGAGCGTATGTTAGAGGGTAGGCGGCTCATCCAGATTGATTTCAGAATTCCGTCGTTTATCTCGTTGCCAGACAGACTACGCATTTCACGCAGAAGGTGTGACGGTCGCATATCGCCTAACTCTAGTTCTTGAAGTAGCTTCTTGACACGTATCTGTTCTGAATCGGCAAACTGGGTGATTAGCCGTTCTTTAAGTGTTTGATACATGTCACTGCTAGGAGGATTGAGAATAATATCACTGATCTGCGCCAAGACGTTGCTTTCCATGGCCGCCACAACTGTGTGATATTTTGTCTTGTCGTTTGTAATGCCTGCCGCAATAAATTGAGATTCTACCTTAGCCAACCATAGTTCTGGTTTTGCGTGCCAGAATGGTGGGATTTTGACAGAGACTTTAGCGAGTTCCGTCGCTTCTCTTGCGGGCTGTGTGCCGGTTGATTGCGCCGGAGGCTGAGAAATGTGATCTGCCGGTGAGGTTTTAGAAACTCCGTTTTCGTCAGGCATTTTTGAACTCGGGATCACCAATTTGTGGCGGCTCGATTGTTTAAAAGTCACGATTAAATGTTTAGACTAG